TAGTGGCCGCACTCTCTCTATACAACATTCACAACAATTATTAACTTATTATCCAAACCAATGACAAAATGAATTACAATTTTTTATTTCGATTATAATCTCACTTATAATCGATTAGTTCTTCCAATTAATTATAAAAAGATTATATCATTTCGTTAAAGTTTTTCATCAAATTTTTAATGTATATATAATAGACATTATATTCTCCACAAAAAATAATATCATTTAAATTAATAATAAATTAAACATTCATCTCATTAATCGACAAAACAAAAAAAGAGTTATTTAAAATACATTTGAATTAATTTCATAAAACGATTTATTAAAATCCTATACATAACTCATAACTAATCAAAATCATGACTACTTTCTCTTTTGGTGATCAATCGCTCCGTATCCGAGTTGACATTGGATTCGCTGTCGCGATGGCTCCGCTTCTTCGTCTCACTGAAGCCACTGTTTGGCTGAACAAAGAGTCTGTAAAATACAAAACAAATTAAATATTCTTATTATAAACACAAAACAACTCAAAAACACTAACACTTCCTCCAATTCCAAGTCTTCATCGCTTAGTGCTAACTGGAAGTAAGGGTTAGTAGAGGTCGGCTGGAAGTGATAGCCCGTCAACAAGAAGAATAGAAGAGTCGCCGAGTGCTGAAAGAATACGTTAAGCCACTCATACTGAAAGGGAACCGTTATCTTCAATAAATAGACGATAATTCGAGTGAAGTATATGTAACAGACGACCATCACATAGAAGTGTCGGAATAGTTTCAGTTTTCTTAAGTTTATGGCAGCCTTTCCGTCCGTCTGTGAGGCCTCCTGCAGGTGCCGTATGGACCACACGACTGGGAATAGTATGGCTCCGCAACACAACAGATCTACTAATATGAAGATCAGCGCGGTGTATAACACGAATTCGAGAGGGAGAAGCGAGAGAAGCCACTAATACAGGCGCTATAAGCGGTTTTGGATAAGTTAGTTAGTAAATCATTAAATAGGAATTTAACTAAAGTATAGAGAAAAATGAAATCGTATAATCAGTAAAATGAGTGCTCACTTGAAGTGGAATAACAATCATAAATATCTTCTTGTCTTTATCACTGAGAATGTGTTTAATGAACGCCCATCCCGTCCCTATCAACACAATCGTTATGAAAAGTAGGGCTCCTTTCAGTAGATGAGTGATGTAGTAGAGCACTGCCCACGTCTCCACCTGCGACCCTTCAGTCGATATGTAGTGATAGTTAATCTGTTTCTCCATAAAATCAATTATTAGATTTTGAATCACCAAATGGTTGATAATGGATGACAGACCCCATGGAATAGTAGTGAGAAGGCTTTGACAAACACCAGAGCGGCCATCAAATAGTGGAGTTTGAAGGCGTCGTTCTGTTTGTTGCGAATCACATGAATCCAAATGATTCCCAATAAGAAGAATATGACGGACAGAGCGAAGTATAGCTGAGGTAATGGTATCTCTCCAGCAGACAAATAGTTGCCCAAATTGTCTTCACTGATAGAGATGTTCAGATTAAAAGTGGTCGACTTCCGGAAGCCTCCCCGCGAGCCATAGTTGGGACAGTTGTGAAAGAATAGACTATACAGACCCTCATGTGAATTGTCTGCGATTACCGCTTGAATCTAGGGTTGAGTTTTAAAAATTATTTTAATTTTTACTCTTACGGTAATTATTAATTTACTATGTGCAAGTACACTTACTTTAAAACTGAATTGCGGTCTATTATCATCGCCGTGGCGCAAGAGTTTCACTGATTTCAAAGAACACGATTTGGTCTCAATCTCCACACTCTTTTCGGTTTGTTTGTCTTCAAAAGTATCGCCGGACTTAACCTCTGGTTTCGTTTCTTTTAACATTGTGTCGAGTTTTTGATCCAAATTCACGTCCTTTTGTACATTCGTCTCCACTTTTGGTTCAATAGCTTTGAGTTCATTATTATCACTCAATTTCTCCACATTTGCGCCCAAACTGTCGTCTTTCGTGTCTTTATTCACTTCATTCTTGTTATTCTGTGAGTAGGAGTCTATGTGTTGCCTACTGTCCACCGGTTCCTTCTTGTTATGGTTAGTAACACCACTTTTGTCATCACTCTGTGGCAGAGTCTTTGCGTCTTTGGACTTATTGTGGATGGGATTCGTGTCATCACTCGACTCATTGGTACTTCTTTTAGGTCTCAATGGGTTTCCGTCAGCGAAGCGTAAATCGGATAACAATTTATTGCATTTGAGATTAACTCTGATTATGGATACAAACAAACAAATTGTAAATCATATCAATAGAAAACAGTGTCTAAGAGTAGGTCCACAACTCACACTTGATTCTTGAAATCAAAGACCATTGAGACTAATCCAATGTTTTCATCGTTATTAATGGTCACCACATCATCCATGAGAAGACATCGGTCTTCGTGTCCCTCCTTTAGGACAAAAATTATTGATTAAAGGTTTGCACAAAAGTAATGGTAAGGGAAATGGATTACAAGATATGGTGTGAGGCTATCGCTCATAGTCTTGGCTAAAGTGAATCCAAACTATACATCAAATGAGATAATAATCGTTAGACGTGGACATCGATTGGCATATGATTTGATGCAAACATACCACTGAATCGTCTTTGTGTGGACTATCACTGAATTGGTTCACTTCGATGCTTAGGTGACCGCCGATGAAGTACCCAAATGTGCTGACAGTGATGTACTTGCGGTCGTCATTCTGCACACAATTCATAGCTTAAGACAAGTGATCACTCAATGGCTTTACAGAATGTCAATCCTGGTTTACCACAAAAGCCCGTAGCTAACTTACTTACCATAAATTATATTCTCAATATTACTTATAGTACACTTATCAGAAGTGCACAAACCCACTGTTACCTACGCTACTATGACATGATTTCAATTTAGCATTCATTAAATGCTTACAAAACGATGACATCATATGTGCCGTTATTTTCACACTTTTAATCAATCAATGAATTCACTGTTATTTACAAATATATTTCAAATTGTTTTTGAAATCAGTTTTAATTTCTGTTGAAATGAAAACAATTTTCGTAATCAAAGCGACGATCAGTTTATTTCATTTATGACTTCAATTGCCTTTCGACGGCTTATAGCGTGTTTGTGGGCCACAATCTAATGACCATGCACAATTTGTTATGGTAATTGTTGTGGAAAAGCAAATCAAATCTATTTAAGCATTTAAAGTGCAAATCAATTAAAACACATTTTGTGCATCACTTGTGTTATGCATTGAATGCAACAAAACAACACAAAACTTGTCATAAGTTTCACTCAAAAAGCATACATTCATTGATTTGCGATATAAGCGACTTTATGCGACTATTTTCGCAAACTTTTTATTATTACGAGTCCTAAAGAATAGTTAATTCACTGATTCATCACTTTTTTTAATCAGTTTATCTCATATATTGTTTATTGTATTAATTTTCTAGATTACACGCCTTTCCACACCGACTCCCATAAGAAATAAGCACTTTATTCAATATATAATACAGTAATTCTTGTAATAAACAAATATTTTATTCTCTGTATTCTCTATATTAAAATCTTTATTAAAACTCATGAAATTCTTTGAAGTGATCAATTACTATGGAATGCAATATTTTAAAAAATAAAATAAACTCAGTCTTTGTAATTAAAATAAGAAATTAGTGGCAATTGTTTGGCACAAATGTGTGGCCAATCTTTTCTTCTTCATATACTCTTCAGACTAGAAATACTTCTCAACGCTTCTCTCTTACGCGGAAACCGATGTCTGTTTTCGATTGGATTTAACAATATATAGAGTTATAGATTATATTTATCATTTCATTCATAATGAATGCAATACTACTGACCACTTCTAGTATGCCATCCTTTCGCTTGAGTATACCATTAAAATGTCCCTGGGTGAACGATATTTGACCCACTTTCCCATCGATACACATATGGCTTATACTTTAATAGAAATAATTAAAACAGATTATTAATAAGAATTGTTTATTAGCTAAACATTGCAATACCTTCCGGTGCCCACAATATTAAGCTTATCGTAGTCGTTGTCTTTAATCATTATCATGATTTTGGTGACCACTTCAATCAGGTGCGCCTTACAGTCCAGAATCAAATCGCCCTAAAATTGTAATTCAATTAACAATTAGTTTTAAATCAATTCTGATGTAAACAATGGCATACTTTGTCTTGTTTTAGATCCGAAGGGATTTTGATAACAAGAAGTCCATCACTCAGAGCACTGGTCGTCACTTCACTGATGCTCTTATAAGGCAACCGGTGTTTGGGTTTCATGTCTTTCTCATTGAGCAAATAAATGGCACTATTTGTCAGCAATAATATTCTGGGTCTCTGTTTATACCCGTGTCGATCATATTTGACAACTTGTAGGCAATAAATAGTCTTTTCATCACCTCTTTTAAACTTAGTCTCGAATATACTCCGGCGAAGTGTTTCCAATTCATTATCTATTGATAAACACAAATTAAAACCACTTATAATTGTATAACTTATTAGTATTTCTATTATTTTGTCAAATACTCAGTCGATTCTCTTTAAACATATTGGGAAGACTCGCGCCATAACTGGCTTTCTTATTGCGGAACAGCTTTTCCGCCACAACTTTTTCGTCCATCAGTCGCTTCCTCTCGGGATTAATACTTCGCACGTATTTCCTGACGAGCCATCTCTGGTGCACTGGTTTTAGTAATTCCGACGCCTTTTGCGAAAACATTTTTGCAATTAAGACAACGAATTGAAAATATTTCGATAAAAGCACTCACTTCTCGGCAACATTTCGGTGATATGAGCCACGATTTATCCAGAACATTTTTTGGCAACTGTTTGGCCAGTCTTTTGAGCCATTCCGCCCTTACATTCTTCACAAACTAATTATCAAATTAAAGGGTTATTAATAGAGACGTTATTATAACAGCAAATAATCTGAAAAATTACCGCTCGATTGCAATCATTTTCGGGTTCATTACGAGTGATAAATCCCTTAATGAATGTCCGGATCATATGGGCGGCCACTCGTCGTTTGGCCAACAGTTTAATGGCGAGGAATCGGCGCCAATAGCTAGCGATGAGGGTAACGGCGCTTCTCATCTGTAAGTACCTCTTTCTCTGTTGTCTCCCTTTGACCCGACTTTGAATAATTGCCGCCAAATCGTGTTTCTTCTGCTGGAATGCGTCCTCCGTATCGAATAGAGTTCGTGGCAATCGTATGAATAGTTTTGTTTCTCCCATCCGGTAGTCATCCGATTCAAAGCCCAAGTAATTCACTAATACCTGAACGCCTTCTTTGGCGCTTCCGTTAAAGTGGGGCCAAGTCTGCGGGCATAGGCTCTTATAGCGATGAAGGAAAGCCTCGTACGGGCGCCGGTACGCGAAGCCGGCTCTCCTGACCCTTAAATTCTCGATGAGACCCAAGTACTTGACCTGATGTCTGACCACTTGGTCGTCAAGATTGTTGGCAACTTTGTTGTCGTTGGGTTTGATGCAGCGGACATACCAGGGCTCCTTTGATGACAATGTGGTCATGAGTTTGGCTAAACTATTCTTGAATTGTGTGCCCGCAGTGAGCGGTCTCTTCTTGCTGTTCACCTCATTCTGGGGGAACACCTGTTGTATAATGGGATTACTCGATGAACACATCGCTCCCTTCAAATCACGATAAAGTAAATCATTGTTTTTGTCCAGAAATCCCTCCACATTATACACCACTTCTCCCGCGTAGTGATTCAAACGGAATTGCTTTATGTAGCCAACCAAGGTATATTTACAGTATTAGTTATCTAGTTATAAATATTCATTTGTTTATATAAGACTCACATCTCTTTCGATTATTTTCTTAGTCTTAGTATCGGCGGTGCTATGGCTACAGAAATGTGGATGACTTCCGACATTAAGCTCTAATTTCTGTAAGAATGTGTTATCACTGGCATCTCCTGGACGCAGACATTCCTCGTCTGTTGACAACAATAATCAAAAGTTAATCAAAAAGTTTCCCTTTTTATATAAGTTTCAAATCCAACCTAAAAGAGCGATAATCCCTTTGTGTCGCTCCTCAATGAGATCACAAATGATGCGATTATTGAAATACTCGATCGGTTCCCACTTTATGTGTGATATTAGTTATAGAAAAAAAAGTTCAATAAACAATAATTAGTTATTTATCCATTAATTTTATATTATGCTTGACTTCACCTCAATTTTCTCGCGTCGGTACTCTTCCTGTTCTGATTTGAGGGTCAGTTCAATAAACAGTTGTTGAAGTTTTTCATTGCAATAATTGATGCAAAACTGCTCGAAACTGTTCTTCTCGAATATCTCGAAGCCATAGATGTCTAATAAACCCATTAATGTCTTTCGTGTCTTATGTCCACGACTTTCGAGCGATTCATTCAGTTTGGAGACCAACCACGTGAAGAGGCGATCGTAGACAGCCTTCGCCAACGCATCCCTCGCATAGATGGCCTGATCTCTGGTCAGACCTCACGAGTGCTTGAGTGGGGAGCGGAGTTACCAGGCCAACCACTTCCGCACGACGTCCTCCAGGAGGAACGTGACGTTATCCAACGTTTACACACTGTGTCAGAACTCAACTCGCTAGTGACGGATCCCATCCTCTTCATAAAAGCCGGTGTTTCCCATATGAAGAACTGAGGCCACGATCGACAGAATGGTATTCTCTTCGTTGACTCTAAAGTCAAACGCTTTGAAAGCATTCTTCACAACAGTATACTGTTTGGAGTCATCAGTTCCGGTGATCTCTTCGCTGTCGCCCTGATTCAGATAGAAATAGCTCTGAGGGTCTCTTCTTAGGAAGAGTTTGGTCAGAGTCTCGTCGTCGGCGCCGTTCAGTAACTCATAAAATATGTGAAAATTTCGTTCGCCTTTATTCTGATGAATAACTCGCGACTTCTCCAACAGATAGTTATTGATGTGTCCGCCCAATGGAGAGCCCAAGTAATCAAACTCAATGTCCATATACTTTCCAAACCGACTCGAGTTGTCATTTCTGTTTGTCTTCGCGTTTCCGAACGCCTCTAATACTGGGTTTGAAAGAAGGAGTTTGTCTTTGACGGACTCGACGGTCGGGTTGTGATGACTGGCGGCCGCCAAATACTGGAGAATCTTTTTGGACGCCTCTGTCTTTCCAGAACCACTTTCGCCAGAGATTAAAATGCATTGATCTCTGGACTCCTCTCTCATCAAACGATAAGAGACGTCAGAAATTGCAAAACTACACGAAAAATGTATTCATATATATAACAAAGTTTAGCTAATATCTCAAAGTCTACGTACATATGTGGCGGCAACTCATAAAGGTTGACATTTCGGTACTTTTCAATTATCTCATTGGAATAAATATCCAAATTCTTGTACGGATTAACCGAAACCAAAACTTGTCCGATAAATGTCTGTTTGAATGGAGAGATATAAATATTTACTTAAAGCCAACAAAGACAACATTGCGAGACACCAAAAAATATTCAGTTCAGACTCACATAAATTAGATTTTCTTTGAAACGCTTTTTAAGATTATCGATGAAAGCGTTTGGATTCGTGTAGTCCTCTAATAAGACAAAGTCTTCAACGCCCACCCGATCCCTGGCGTGTAATTCACTCTCCATTCTCGTGTATTTAACCATAACTGACAACTGATTTGGTGCTCAAAATTCAAAGACTAAATGGGATTTTAGACCAAAGCCTAAACGAAAAGTAACTCATAATTAATATATTTGCGAAGTGATAAGAAAACTTTGTTGCTTTGTAACAAACATTTTATCAGAATTAACGCATTTAGAGATAAGAAACTTTATTTCTATAATAAACTCTTAAGTAAACCCTTTTTTGGTCGTTTAAATTGCATTGAATCTATTTTTTGAATTATTATAAATAAGTGGTTATAATAAATATTATATAATAAATCTCTAAGTGTTTTTAAAAATAGTTCACTAAAAGCATATGAATTTTTACATTTAAAATGCGATAATATACAAATGCAATCGACAATAAAAGGATACAAAAAAAAGTAAATTGCTATCTTATAGCTACATGATTAATTAAAGTAATAATAATAAACTTTATCAATATTTTTAATTGCATTTAAATAGAAAGTATATATAAAATAATATTACAATAGGAATAAAAATATATTAAGTTAGACATCAAATAAATATAATTTCTCTATTATTGAGAAACACCTGCGCTCAACATTTTGGGAAAATAGATCATCGCTTGAATACATACTAATTAAAGTCTGTTTTCAAATCATATGCTAAAGGTTTGAGTGTAATTTAATAATATAATTTTATTAGTGAATTAAACGCTGCAAACAATTTCAAACACAGCATTACTTTGAAGAAAGGAAAGGATATTTGTTTTTTGCAATTTCCTATGCATTCCCTATAAGTCAATAGCGATTAATGTATTTGTCAGACAATAGCGATATTTCCTTATTAAAAATTTCTTACATATGGATTCAATTGTTTTCCGTAACAAACACTTTCAAAAACATACCAAACAATTCAATTCATGATTAATTTGTTGATTTCTATGTATTAGAATGTATTTCCTCTTCAATAACACTATTTATTTAAAATATAGATTTTAACTTTTATTTCACTTCAATATAATAAAGTTATTCGCAATCTTATGAATCACACATCAAATTATACATTAAAATAGATTATTGGCGACACATATCAAATGCATTGAAACACAATAAATGCTAGAGTTTATCAGCAAGTATGAATTATAAAAATAAATGGGTATGTTTTTATAAACTATTGATTTATGTAACAAAATAATTCAGATGTGATATTAGTTTTTATCAATAAATAAGTTTTTCTAGACTGAAGTGTTCAGTAACATCCAGGGATGTGGAAAGTTAGTCAAAACTGGGGGAGATGTGTGTGAAGTAGTGTACTGTTTGACGGATTAGTCTGGAGATTGTTAAAGATCTCTAAAAATGTACTCTAATTCTTGTTTAGTATAATCGAAGTCAACAAAACAATTGCTCTTTTGTTGTATAGTTTAGGTTTTTTTAGTTGACATACATTTGAATAAATATTTAAATTAATTTTTTTAAGATAGGAATTCGTGTTAAATTTGCTACATTTTGTTCACTAATTTTATTTGAAATTACTTTTAGAAGTTGAACTGTTCAAATTCAAGTAAATTAGATAATATTCAACATAAAAATTATGCAGAATTTCAAACAAATTAGTTTCAAAGTAAATGTAGAATACCGTAGTAGTTTTGTCACATACAACATATTACAAAAACACTACAAATTAGTATTGAAACCTAAATGTTTTGATAGCAAACCCAACCCCCACCATCCTTTTTATAAATGCTAGACATTAGCGAAATGCCACCACAAATATATTTCGACGATTAAATCTAACATGTATTTTGTGATTAAATACGAGTCACTCTATTAAGGGATAAAGATTTTCAAAGAATTTTCAGACACTTTATCTATTCATCTAATATTTAAATATATTTCACTTTTTTATGAAATAACATTTATACGGTAGAAATTTTAACTAAATTAGATTATAATTATTACTACTATTATATTAGACTAGTCTATGATGTCTAACTTTATATTTAAAATAACATAATGAAGTTTTTTATATAAAAAAGTTATTTAATTAAAAAAAGTAAAACAATTACAAAGTATATTATTTTATCATAAAATGTTTGAACAAAAATAAAAACCAATGTTTATAATTGTGTAATTGTCATAACAATTCTATACTTACTTATTAATAAAACCAAACACCGGTACTAAAACTATAATTGAAACTGAATTCACTCGACGGTAGAAATGAAGTACACTTTATATCACTTCACAATTTGTCAACTATTTTGGTGTTAAAATAAGTGTTCATTAGTTGCAAATATAATTATACAATAAAACAGTGATAAATAAGGCATTCCTTAGTCTCACCGCTTATCAAACAATTCAAGCGAAAGTTTACGCAAATATTATATTAGCGTATGATATGATTGAATGCAATTTGTATTACACATCCAAATCGGTGTCGCCTTTAATATCGAGATATATTTCAACACAAATAATATTGAATTATTAAAACAACAACAAAGTTTGCACAACAAATGGGTTCACAAAATTCAAAACATTGATAACACAAGTGATTTAGAGATCAGTTACTCATAAGCAATGAAGATGAGAGGCCCGACGACTTTCCTCTCAAACATACATTTTATATGATATTCACATCCATTGAGCGATATTTGGAAAGCGAGGCGAAGTGCCAAAAGATCCCAAAATAAAGACTTTTGAGCCAAAAACAACTCCACACTCACTGTCTTTCATATATCAATGTTTTCATTCTTTGCTCAAAAAGTTTCCAATTCATAGACTGAAAGGGAGAGCATATTGTGGTGTAGATTAGGACAACAACTTCCAGCAACTTCTCTGCCAATCCCCTCCACCGGACTATCGCTTCTCTATTTCAGACAACCTATACCTTCAGATGGATACCCAGTATAAAGAGTTTAATTGAGGCAAACCGGTGCTGCTGTCCCCATGCTTACCCGCTTGCCATCCTATGCCTGCCATCCCATACCTACCATCCCGCCTGTCCTTGACTTAAAAAGTTTGCAAAGAGTCTCAAACTTCTCAAACGTCTAAAACTTTTTTCCAACTCTTTCTCGCCCTTTCTTTGTGCGTATCGATTGAATGCACATTAAGTCCTCAATTAATTGTAATCTAATTATATATTATTTCCCAGAATATGATAAATTTTGTCGCAATTTTTACTTATCTTTTTGCATTTTGTAATTTTAAATTAGTTTATATTTTGTTTGGAATATATTTTGAAAAGTTCTTGTTTTTCAGTTACTCTTTCTATGAAAAACTAATTATTTTTCATAACCAGTAAAACAACTAAACTCAACGCTATTACGAAACATCTGCTCTGTTTTGGGCTGACATTCAATGAGAAGAGGATTTAAATATAGAAATTCACGTCTAATATAACAAAAGTTATATTCTATACACAAACCTATCGTCGGTATAGTTTTTTGTTTCACTAATTTATCATTCATTGAAAAACAAAATGCTTTTTCATTAAGTCTTAAAATAAATTCCAAAATTAGTTAAACAAACTCTTTTGAAAAAAGCATATTTATCTTTCAAACATATGCTTTACATTTCAAGTACTCAATACACATTATATTCATTTTGAAGAACCATTTAATATATAATTATGAATATAATACGAGAATAATGTGTTTGTCTAATAGGAGTAGTTCTCTGTCTGACTCCCACCTCGAGTTGAATGACTGAGGAATACAAAGAAAACTCTGTTTTCATGACTTCAACCATTTCTACTGTATGTTTGTGTGAATAATATATTTTTTATTTATTATTTAAATTCAATTCAATTATGTATTTCTCATTCTTTTACTGTTCACTCAGTTGTTAATGAATTGAATTATAATCGATTCAATTCGCAATCAGTTGTCTCATTGCAATCAATCATCTCTTTATTTATTGATCGCATAATCAAGTTTTAGAGATCGTGTAAAAAATAAAAAATTGTTTTACAGATTAACGCCTCAGTTAGTAGTGCTGTGTCTGATGACAGGCACACACTCGTCATAATTCTTGAATACAATTTCAATCTATTGTCTGATAAATGTCTAACAATTAGTGATCACTATATTCTGAATTTTCTACTTTATAAGTCATTGACTATTAACTTAATTCAGTATTTACACAAATTATAATCATATGCTATATTTCACTCATCAATGGCTTTGATTTGTTCAATCCGTCTCAACACAAATGCCATTTGAAATTATTTTATCAAAGTCACAGACACAACCTTAAAGGCATTTGACTTAATGTTTAATTTATTTGTTTAATATTTTAAATGCTGTAGTGAGGTTTTAAAATATTGTTAAGACTCGTATTGTTAAGAGTGTAATAAAAAAATAAAATCTGTAATTGGTGATTACAAAAAATACCATATATATGAGATATAATTTAGTGTTTAAACTCAATAAAAATTTTATTGCTTTCTAATGGTGTATAAATTGACAAGAATATTCATTATCAATTAAAAACAGCAATATCTAAACTAGTATTTGAAAAGTCTAAAATAATACTTTTCTACAAATTTGTGCAAATTGCGTAAAGCCTCATTAATTTCAAAACTTAAAAACTTTTTATATCTCTAAACATTAATTGACTAAACTATTTATCAATTAGTTTAATGTAATTTTTAGGTCAATTGTAATTTAATGAATCAGACTTTAAAATTTATGTCTCATTTCCTTCCAATTATAATATCGTAAAAATATCGTCGTTTAAAATTACATACAATTATCAAACATTTCCTAAAAATGCAATGAAATTTAAATCATCCGAGTAAATGTAATCCCCAAATATGGTGCTTCAGGATATCTCCACTCAAATTAAGATATTGAATATAACTTTTAAAAAGTATTTTAGTTGAAAAAATACTTATGAGATATGACACAAATCCTATGCTTTTAAAAGTTTTAAAACATTCACAAAATCGTATAAACATTTCAACAAAACATTTTTCAAATAAGAAATTGTGTTAAAATCATAACAACAAAACCTCTCAATGATATCGAGGACTTGTTATAACTCATTAATCTCAAGCATATAATAAATGAATAGTATTTGAATAAAAAAAACAATAAAAATGTTTGTTTTATAATTAATGCCAAAAACAACAGAATATTCTTGACGTGAATATAACTGTGAGTCAAATAACGCGCTGTTTATACGTAAACCCAATTCAATGCCAATGAGTGACGAAATGTTGTATTTTTTGCTCACAAAATAGTCGTGTATTTCAAATGATATTCAAAAATAAAATATATTTCCAAATGAACTGAACTTTGATTTCATCTAATCTTGAGTTTAATTTTGAATTCAAGATCTTTAGCGTTAAATACTTGTAATCAGTATTTATAATGAATTTTTCCACAACTGTTGTCAAAACCCATCCATCGCTTGATTATCTCTAATATTAAGTCATTTTAGGATTTAATTAGACATCGATTCCGTTGTCATTATTAAGATATCTTGTAATTAGTGATCAAATGGACGCCACAATCATTTGCACCGCTCGTGACATTGTGGTCAATGGCATCAATGGTAAGATATTANATTTTAGGATTTAATTAGACATCGATTCCGTTGTCATTATTAAGATATCTTGTAATTAGTGATCAAATGGACGCCACAATCATTTGCACCACTCGTGACATTGTGGTCAATGGCATGAATGGTAAGATATTATCATAACTATTATTGAAATTGTATCAGTATCAATTGTACTCGTAGTCAATTAATATATTGATTATAAATGGTGCTTGCTCATTCTAAACAATAGCCGATTCTGAGTTTGTGAATACGAGAAATGAAGTTCAAATACATCTCATGTTTTGTGACTCAATACATATCACTTCCAAAAGTCTTCAGTCGAAAGATATCAGATTTAAGGTATCGTTGGATGAGTTGAACCAAAGAGATTGCCATCAACTCAGTGATGACACCAATGAAGAGAATAAATGCAATGCCATCGAGATATCAGTGATGAATGACAATGAGTCACATTTCGGACCTCAAGAGCCCAATGGACGGCTCTATTCGGCCAAAGAATACATACTCTTTCGGACTAAAGTCACAGAAATGGATGCAATGGTAATGAAGTGTATGGTTTGCATTTGTCTTGTATTGATTGTCGTGTCTTTTCCCTCTGAAATCAAAAGGCGTTTACAATTGACTTGTATTCTTCTGGAAGTGATTCAGATGAGGACATAAAGCGAATCGCTTTTTGCAATATATTTGCCTCACATTTGAAAGACACGAATGGATTCATTTCGATGCCATTTAACGCAGAAAACGGCAAAATTGTGGCTCAACTCAAAAGTATTTTCACTGAAGTTCTCTCAGAATAATGTGTATAATTGAGTGAAATATTTATAATTTAGTGGAGTATCTCATATTGAATCCAATGAAAGGAACGCTAGATTTGAACGGAAAGACCTCCGATGAGAGTTGGCTTAAACAGGGAAAGGGTGTTCGCTATGATGTGGGCCATCGGGGCGCTGGTATCGCCCGCAGAACCGACAGAATCGAGAATATTCTGGAGAATACGATCGCGTCATTCAATTTTGCGAGTCTTCACGTGAGTACTTATACTATACTTATTTTTTTTTTGTCAATTCGTGCTATATTTGTCATAAATTTAACTAAAACTTGCAAATAAATGCTGTAATAACAAATCACTGGTTTTAACTGGTGTTATAATTATTAAAACCTTGGAATAGTGGTTAAAATATAATTTGTTTGTTATTTACATCCTATTGAGTAATAGTTTTTGGCAAAGTTATAGGAAAAATATTGAGTACTTTAAATCATTAAATATTCATTGATGTAATTGGCAATTACGTTACGTTAGTCCATAATTTAATGATATTTTTGTTTATTAACTATAATTTCTAAGATTACTTAAATTCAATTATAAAAATCAATTTTATAATTAAATTTATGAATTAATGGATAAAATTCAAGGATAAAGATACAGCACATTAGTTAGATAAACAAGTTTATAAATTGTATCCGTATTATTGTTAACTACACAATTATTTATATTAAAATCTATTTTAAATCCTAGTAATATTTGATTCAGAAAAACATTTTTAATATATGAATTTATTTATGGTATTTTAATACTACAAGATACTCATACTATAATAAATATTATCTGTACTGTGCAAATACAGAATGTGCTTAATTTTGCAATTAAATTCCTTAACCAAAGGGGGCTGATATGGTGGAACTGGACGTCCAACTCTCAAAAGACAAAGTACCCATTGTTTATCATGACTTTAATGTCAACATAATCATGAAAAATGTATATTTGACACAAATGTTGCCGTAAATTATACAAAATTAAAATTATATAAATCGATTGTTTAAAGAAAAAATCGAAATCAAATTCCGGAGAGCCTTCGACCGAAGTCCACACGATGGCCATCAAAGATCTCACTTTCAAACAACTCCAGAGTTTGCAGGTTTGTATGATTCACACGAATCACAGAATCGATAATTTACTAAACTATCACTTGTTTTGCATTTCATATTCATAGCTGAGTCCTGTTATTAAAGGTTTGTTTGAATTAATGCTCTATTAAATCATGAATCAAATGACTAATTGTGTGATTCTGTTTTAAAACCATCTTTTTGTGATATAATAAAAGAAATTAATATTTTTGTTTAAAAGCGAATAAAGCTTTTTATGACTTTGGAGAAGAAGATGAAACCGAAGACAACCTTCCGTTCGCTAGTCTCCAAAAAGTCTTGGAATTAGTGGATCCCAAGTGTGGACTCAATGTTGAAATTAAATATCCGCAACAGAAGATTGTAAGTATTGATCAAATTATTCAGATTTTATTAACATTTGTTTCAATGATCTAAAAGTGTGGTCAATGGGAGGCTGAGAAGACTTTGGATCTGAACGAATACGTGGACATAATAGTGTCGACTGTGTTCGCCAACGCTGGCCATCGCAATATTGTCTTCTCGTGCTTTCATCCGGATATCTGTTCCTTGTATTTAATATTCAATTTCAAAATTTGCATTAATTTGAAAAGACTTAAGTATTGATAAACTAAATTATTTGGACTAAAGGCTCAAATATAAGCAAGACCGATACCCAGTGCTGTTCCTAACGCAAGGACTCACGAAGAAGTGGCAGCAATACAAAGACCGTCGCAATGCCTCCATTGAAATGGCCGTCTATTTCGCACAGAGCCAGGGGTTGGAAGGGATTAACGCACACGCGGAGGATATAATCCTAGACAGAACTCTCATCCGGTTCGTCAAATCCAAACAATTGATTCTCTTCTGTTGGGGCGAAGACCTCAACAAAACGGAACTCATATCTGAACTCAAAGAGGAAGGCGTCGATGGAGTGGTTTATGACCAGTGAGTAGTTTACCACTCATTTGTTACTACTTTTTAATAATTAATCAATTATTTGATGCTTAGAATCGACATTCTCTGCGGAAAAGTCCTTTCATCGACGCCTACATAGGAATCTATTTGAATATTAAAACTTATTTTTGATCTTTAATACGGTTTTAAACTTAACTTGATTTTAATCTCTTAGTCTAACTATATGTTTGGTCACAGTTTAGGTTTTCTTTATTGGAAATATTTTTTCAAACAAACATTTGATGGATTTTATTTTTTACCTTAATACCTTAATATATTTTAACTATACCTTTATAAGTACAGTATATAAATTTATAAGTAAATAACTTATGATAGATTAGACTTATCATAATTTAACTGATTTTATTAAGATCTATGCATTTATTATATTCTCTGTACAATATTTATAATTCCTTGAATATAAAGTGTGTAAAACTTCTGATACTTTCTAGTCTTACATTTTCTATATAATATCCTAAGTAATTGTATTTTACAAACTGATTACTGGTATTGTGTTTCCTTTCAACTCCATTCTAATTGTTGGGAAATGTGATTAAACTTTGATATTTACTTCACAATGTATAATAATTTATGGAATAAACTATTTTATTATCAAAACTGTATTTTAACATTTTAACTAATTTTTGTTTTCTTAACACGGTAAATGTCAAATTGTGTGAACGTATGTTAACTGATATACAGGTGTAAAGTTGAATACAGATATGCAACGAATGGGTTCACTGTTTACTAGTATATGTAATGTATGATAAACTTTCCCAAAATGTTTGACGTCTTAAAAGTCTGGGTCTTGTATTCAGTCATTAAGACATAAGTCATTAACAAATCGGGTCAATGAACTGGGATCAAGAAAAGTACGTTTTGTGGAAATTAATTCAATACAAAATGCAAAATTGGGTTAACTTTCTCACCCAACACTCCAACGCAATGTCCCCATACTATATGCTAAAACATGTGAAAATCAGTCAAATGTTTTAAACTCATTTTTGTCCCACAAATTTGTCTCGCATTTAAAATATCCCCATTTAATATTTTCCCAAATAAATTGCATACATATTAAAACTTTTGCCAGTCTCAATTCTGTTTACTGTTATTACAGTATCATCCAAATTAGTGCTAAATCTAATCACTGTTTCTGTACTGTTACTTGAATCAAATATTTTGATTAATAAACCAAAGTTCATCATATTTATACAATATCACTTTTAAATAAACTACTATGCTATTAAATGTTAATCATTAGTGACTCAAAAAAGTGATTACTGTATAAATTGTTTGGAACTTTTATACGAATTTATTATTCATAGTAATTGAATGATTGCTAAGAATTTGTGCATTTTTATTGAATGGAGTAACAAATGTAAGAATTTTTCAAATTATTTATTACTACACATAGACTATTCATGTTTTGCTATTTATAAATTCTAACTTTCATAGATAACATTGTATTAAAATATTTTCATGCAATTCATAGTTTGTGAATCAGCAAATTATTGCACTGTATTTCACAAATATTTAAACTAAATTACATGTCCTTTGATTATAATAATACATTTAACCGCATTTACCTATATTTAAATATATTTAAATAAATATATTTAAATATTTATTTGTATATTAAGCGTGAGTTAATTGCAATGATTTGCAAATACATTATACTTTTACGCTCATATGCATATAATCTATCCAGAGATTAATCAATGTTTTAACACAGAATAAAACTAACTTTGATTAACTAACCTAACCTTGCTACAAATTCTTGTATTAATCCCCCAAAAATAATACGTTAATTCTGAAAGTATTTAAAGGTACGAAACAGATGTATATTGCAACAACAAACTATGTATGAAATACCTTTAGTACTATTTTATATGAAAACTATACTCTATATAAGAATATAAATACCATGACAGCAATGGTCACAAAAGTGAACTCAAATGTAGGCCCAAATCAAATGCCATTTACTGTGAGTTACAGATATGAGTTGATCTGAATTACAGTGAAACTCATTTGCGATAACATAACCGAAATTATAACAAATTATATAAATATTTCATATCTAATCGCTTTAGTAATTCAATTAAATGTGTTTATAATACAGTGTGAACAGGGCAAATGTGACAAACAAGTGAAGTTATGGCAAAAAAGTGTAGTCACTATAGCGGTGTTTGCAGTGATTTGTCAATCGAGTGATTGTTGTGAATATAGTGTGTATTACTGTATGTATTGTAATCACAATTTGACTGTTGTTTGCATTTGTAGTCAAATACTGTGTTTTGCTTTCAATTTAATTAATCACACCATTCGTACAAATCCGCTGTTCATGTGTTTGTAAATATTGTTTAACCATTTATTTGTCACTCAACTCATCCACTCATATACGACCCAAACATATGATTATTGACCAAAACGTAAGTGAAATGTCTATTGTTTTGATTAGTATTGCGTTTAGCATTGAATCCAATTTAATGACAATTTCCACAATTGGTTTGAGTTTTAGTCAACAATTGCTTTTTGTTTACCATTTATGTGTCAAACCAAGTGCTGTTTAAAGTGTGTGTTGTTTGCTATGAATGCAAATACAATACAATGTTTGCATTCATTGTATGAAAGCTAATGTGTTTTACATTTGAGTCATTGTAAGGGGTATTAGAGGGGGTCTCTCACCTCACATATGCCTCACGTATATCCAACACTTTCGTCAATATTTACCACTTTATTCACAATTCAATTGAATTTATTATTTAAATTTAATTTATTATATATATAACCCTTTAATACTAAATTAGTAAATGATAGCATGTGTTAAATAAATGTGTGAATCTTATGCATTAATTAATTGCTATATGATCCGGGTAATGTTTAATACCTGTATAATCCTGGTCCTATGATACCATATACTGTATGTCTGTAACCCGAAGGACAGGTTTCCAGTTATTTGTCGTTAATTTATGTTTTTAACACATGATTGCAAACTGTTTGCTAATTTTGTTTATAGTTTACAAATTGTCGCAAACTTTTACTTTTTATTTGAAATATTCACTCAATTTGAGATTTAAATATTAATGTATATTTGAATGTGTATTGAATCACAAGTTATTTAAATTTCACATTTTCCTGAATTTCATTTGTATTTTTTGACAAATATATTGAAATTTTAAAGGAAATAATTGTCATAAAATGAGTAATTAATTAATTTTTTAATATTTAATTTTTACTAAAAACAAATATCAAAACAGTATTTATAATTTAAATTTTAGCACCAATTAGTATATAATTATATATATTTGTCTGATTTTTCCCCCAATAAAATATCTAATCATTTGATTGTTAAAAGTATTGAAGGTTAAGTGAACATTGAAATTTAATATCTATTTTACTATTAGTTTAGAAATTAACACAAAACACTAATCCAGA